CCGGGTATTCATTGACATAACCATGGGGTGGGTTCCTTGACATAACCATGGGGTGGGTTCCTTGACATAACCGGAGGGTTCCTTGACATAACCGGGTTCCTTGCCTTGACTTGCCTTGGTGACAAATTCCTCTCGTTTCTCCCTCTTTCTCGCTCTCATTCGCTGTCTCACTCCCTCTCGCGGTCTTAATATCGGACAATGTCAAGCGGCTCGAGGAGTTCTGCGAAACCTAAACGAAACACTGCCCCCCCTATCGTGTTACACTCTGCGGACATTCGTACCCTCCTCTTTCCGAAAATTACGACGCACATTTATTCCCGGAATATGTAACCTTTCAATATTGTAACATTAACGCTACACACATCCATCGCTGTTCATCGTACGGCCGTCTTCGAAAAAAAAAAAAAAAAAAAAAAAAAAAAAAAAAAAAAAAAAAAAAAAAAAAAAAAAAAAAAAAAAAAAAAAAAAAAAAAAAAAAAAAAAAAAAAAAAAAAAAAAAAAAAAAAAAAAAAAAAAAAAAAAAAAAAAAAAAAAAAAAAAAAAAAAAAAAAAAAAAAAAAAAAAAAAAAAAAAAAAAAAAAAAAAAAAAAAAAAAAAAAAAAAAAAAAAAAAAAAAAAAAAAAAAAAAAAAAAAAAAAAAAAAAAAAAAAAAAAAAAAAAAAAAAAAAAAAAAAAAAAAAAAAAAAAAAAAAAAAAAAAAAAAAAAAAAAAAAAAAAAAAAAAAAAAAAAAAAAAAAAAAAAAAAAAAAAAAAAAAAAAAAAAAAAAAAAAAAAAAAAAAAAAAAAAAAAAAAAAAAAAAAAAAAAAAAAAAAAAAAAAAAAAAAAAAAAAAAAAAAAAAAAAAAAAAAAAAAAAAAAAAAAAAAAAAAAAAAAAAAAAAAAAAAAAAAAAAAAAAAAAAAAAAAAAAAAAAAAAAAAAAAAAAAAAAAAAAAAAAAAAAAAAAAAAAAAAAAAAAAAAAAAAAAAAAAAAAAAAAAAAAAAAAAAAAAAAAAAAAAAAAAAAAAAAAAAAAAAAAAAAAAAAAAAAAAAAAAAAAAAAAAAAAAAAAAAAAAAAAAAAAAAAAAAAAAAAAAAAAAAAAAAAAAAAAAAAAAAAAAAAAAAAAAAAAAAAAAAAAAAAAAAAAAAAAAAAAAAAAAAAAAAAAAAAAAAAAAAAAAAAAAAAAAAAAAAAAAAAAAAAAAAAAAAAAAAAAAAAAAAAAAAAAAAAAAAAAAAAAAAAAAAAAAAAAAAAAAAAAAAAAAAAAAAAAAAAAAAAAAA